TAGTACGGATCTGAGGGATTCTTCAGGATCAAAGACCCACTTCGTGCATTCAGCACCTACATGGTGTCCTCTAGGACAGTTTCATCCAGAAGCGACGACGACTTAATCTCCTCTTCAGGTCGTTTAATGACACTTCGGCTAAGTCGCCTGCCTTCAAAGCACCTCTGAAGTCTTCGAATATCATCTCGTCTAGCTCAAAAACAGCATCGACCGCAAGAAGAGCATCGAGGGTGACGTCACCGTGTATAGCTGTGTGCTATCGTCTACGGTGGATACACCTTGGGTCAGGGTCGACGCCCGGCGTCATGCAGCTAGCATACGGCGTCGCCTTTGTCTCTCCGCAGAGGTTTTACGTCTTGGCAAGACCGGTGGGAAAGGAACACGCACTCAGCGTCGTCCAGTGTAAGCCCCACCCCCTACTCCACCGGAGCCCTGATGATATTAACAACATCCGACAAAAAGCTGCTATTTCCGCAGCCTTGCCCAAAATGCCTCGGACCTCGTCCAACTATGACACTCTTGGCATGCAGCAACTGCTTCGAAAAGTAAGCAGTGCTCGCTCAGTGGATCACGCGCCACTCCACGTGCATCACTGGGGCCTCGCCCTCGATACTTCGGACCTCGTTTGACCATGCCACTCTTGGCATGCAGCGACTGCTCGATTCTGAGCAGCGCTCAGCGGGTTACGTTCCACTCCACGTTCAGCCCGCAAGCCACGCTCGGGACTCCTGTTCAATACACCTTTGGTGTACGACAACTCGTATAGTCTGGTCTCCAGCCCGTTTACATTCCTGGTCGTGCGCGTAGCTTCCAAAGTCTTTGACCTCCAATCGATCCATGGCTCATGGCGTTCCAACCATGCCATACCAAGGATGGGGTCATACCTCGAATCCAAGTCCAAGCTAAGCAGCGTTCCACGCTATCAAAGTCAAGAATCTTGGTATCGAGGTCCACAGGGACCCTCGGCACCGTGACACATGTCCCCGTCGCTAAGCGAACAGTGACGGTGTCACTCAACCGTGCTTTCAGCGCCTCAGCAAACAGCTGACTTCCTTCTATCGTGGAGCGTCGAGCATAAATGACCGACGCCCATGCGTCGATAAGGATCCTCTATGGCTTCTCAAAGCCCTTCACGGTCGCTTTACGACCAGCAAGCCCGGTTTGTATATAGGTTCTGTGTTCAAGAGCACGGATCTCTTCGGGGCTGGACCCTGCTAACCTCTACCTCTTTGAGGCTCCACTGAATTCATTTCTACCCCAGTATCACGCCCCGCGCCTACTGGGGTTTTGTTATTTTCCCACAACAAACCAGACTGGTGAGAAGCGGGACGTCAGTTCAATGAACCTTTACGCGCCTTGCGCAGAGGACAACCAGTCTGAAGGAGACGGGTGTCTCCGTAGACAAAACACCGTAAGGTGTTTCAACGTTTCTCGCTCAGCAGCTCGGAGCTCTACCTCCTCTTTCTCAGCATAGCTGAGATCCATTTGGCTCAGGCTCACTCGACAAGCTACTAGGGTGTGCATTCCAACCAAGTCGTGCCGACATAAAGTTAAATTCGGCAATCAATGCCATATTCACCGCTTTTTCAAAAGAAGACGAATGTACACAGAAGTCTTCCAATTCTGGCCACTCCAGTGCGGAGGCCCTCCATAAAGACGGTCACTGTGACCGCCTCGGGGAGAGGTTCGGCTGCCATTCCGGTAATGAGAGTACGCAACTCTTGGACAAAGTCCACCAATTCCTTCATGCCACGTCGGGTGGCAAGGAAACGCGGTCACACGCGATATGCCTGGTTAGGCGGCGAGAACACTCGTAAAAGCTGCAGCTTCAGCTCTATCGAGGAGGAAAGCCTTCCTTCGACTGAAGTGCCGCACGTCAGTGTCCATTCTCGCGCTCGACCATCTAGCTTGGAGATAGCTAGCGCCACGCGCTGTTGCTTGTTTGTGAAGCATGATGGACGCCATAGCCATCTCATCCTCCCTCATCCACAGCAGGAGATTCTCTCCATTCTTACCCTCGAAGGTCTTAACGCTTTCCATGAGCGGCTTGGGTCGGGAGGAGTCATCCGCCGTCGATGGTGGCGTCATGGACGCAGTCGACGCCGACTTCTCTAGGTACTCAAGGAGAGCATCTTCATAGCTCTAAAACGCCTCAAGGTGCGCGCTGATCGCTTTAGGTCCTTGCGAAGCGAGGTGTTGCATACCCTCAGGGTCAAGCAGAGACATTAGCCTCTAAAGTCCGTCCCACATGCCTTGGGGTAAATAGGAGAACTGCTCCATCCTCACAGAGAATTAGTCGTAAAGACTCAGGTGTAGACTGACTACAAGTGCTACCAAGTGCAGTGGGTTGCCGTAACTCTTTCGCTTAGAGGAAGCTAAGCTAAGGTCGGTAACCTTTGTTCTATACCTAAACTGTGCGAGTGTAGCGGATCGCAATCCGCTTCCACTAATAGTAAAAAAACCTTAACCTAAGGCAAATAAATTCTTCCGTTCAAAATGCAAATTGTATTTCTTGACTTAATTTGCGGCAGAGCCGCCTATATCTAAATCTATAGGTTTTCCTAATTAAATAGCAAAACCCTCATATAAAAGCATAACTACTGGCACTCCAGCCACGTACTGACTTGTTGTTGAGGTGTAGCCACGCCATTGTGTGATAACATAACTCACACCCTTATATGGTCACATGACCCACACCTTCATACCAGGGTATGTGTAACCCCGTTAAACCCAGATTGTAAGACCCATAATATCTTAAGATTTGATGTGTTCAGTGACTCTGTCCATACAAGATCCCCAGGGCGGGAGCCTGTGCAGTAGCGGTCTTTGCACACTGACTATTTTTCAACAGTCGCGCGCCGTACGTAAATGCACAACTCCTTACTGGATTTTACGCGCCTCTATAAAGTTGTGGGTTGATGCAAGTGACCACCCTGAAATTTGAGCCTCATATATTTCAAAGATATTTGCTACTTTGAAAGCTGAGTCCCATCAAATTTGATCTTTATAAGGCACTAAAACTTACCAATTCTTGTTAGGTTACCATGCACTGGAGCTGCCTGCACTCTGCACAGAGATATTCAAAGCTTTCACTCACAAAATCGCAGAGGTTGGGCTCGTGCACTTCAAAGAAGCGGAGCCTCCACATCGCTGTACGTTTTTTCTGCTATTTAACGAGTACATACGGTAAGAAGCAGATTCATCGAGACTAACACCATCCATGCGTTTTATTTTTCTTCGCCGTTTCATTTCTGACGTACCTTAGACCCTTTCCTTTCGGGGTTCCGTAATCTCCATAAATACCGATATTTTGGGTCTTATGTCCCACCAAGTGTAATATTGATTTTGTTCAACTGTATATATTGTAATCAAAACAATTGTGTTGCTCCCCCCAGGTTTTGAAACACTGCGCAAAAGTGACCGTTCCTTGTGCAGCCACTGCGCTTGGAGCTCCGCCCCACTCAATGCGCTCATCGCGTCTGCTCTGCTGAGCTTTGATACATCGGTAGTCTGCTCCTGTGCACCAAACTCATCGAATTCCCACCAAAAGCGCGGTCGCTGTGGCCCATACACGCAAAAAAATCGGTGATGCTGACGCAGTGTACTTCGATTAGATCGGTCTCAGTGGGTACCCGAGTCTAGACTAAACACCTCCACCCCCTCCCGACGATGCACGGCCTAGCTTATCCCCAAAAAGGAGACGACCAATGCTCCCAGCCTTTACGCTGCACGAGTCTGGTTCTCAATGCTCTTGAATGGGTAGTGTTTCGACACCCCACGGCAATACGCAGCTCCATTTCGAGAAGCTGAATATGGCTTGAGCAGCCCAGCTTCCTTTGCTACGAGCGCAAGGGTCACGCCAACTCTTGCCGGGTCACGTCTTGATTAAGGCTTTAAGACGTTTACGCGCCGGAAGCAGCCTCTTTACGCCTGTGTGTGGGCCTTCCACTCACATCATCTGTGAAACAACCGCGAGTAAGTTGCTCCGCGAGCGCTTTCTCCAACCACAGGTCTTCATTCTCAGAAGGTGTCTCCACGCTAGGAGCAGTAGTAAAAGAGGGTCCCGTACCTTCGTGGGGGGCGCTCCTTGGGTGATAGAAGCTGACAAAAATGTCGCTGAGCACATAACTCAGATCATACAATGAACGAGAAGAAGAGGCCATCCTAGGAGACGTGCGCGTAGCGCCCAAGGTCTTGACCTCCAATCAATCCATGGCTCATGGT